CAACAAGGCAACAAGGCCTAGGAAGACAGTAGACGAGAAAGTATGGTCTTTCAAACACACACACACACACACACACACAACACCCACACACACACACACAAACGACACCACACACACACACACACACACACACACACACATACACACAACACACACACCACACACACACATCCACTTCACCACCACAACACACATCACACCACACCACACACACACACACACACACACACATCACACCACACACCACACAACACACACACACACGAAAAATATATATGGCAGATGTGCGCTAGAAGAAAGTAGCTGAGGAAGGAAACTCATGCAAACCGTAAGGAAATAAATTATCATAGACGGCTGTATGAGGTCTTTTGTGGTGGAAAAGGGTTTTTGTAACAGATTCAGAGGCATATTTTCATACCAATTACAATTCCGCAATGGACCTCAGACCTTCACCACATATACACTCTACTGACACACCTCATACTGTAACACTCTCACAGTAGCCTCCTACAGTATTCGATACAAAGAAAGACAGAAAAAATAGTCAATCAAGTTAATATTCTATTACTCTCAACCTAAATTCAAGGAAAGCAATTTTCGTTTCTTCAAAGATTGATTTATACATTTTGCATTATAATCTGTAAATGCTTTTCTCACATCCTCATCCTTTATGGTCTATCCCTCCTTAGCTAAACAACGTTAGACCAATATGAAGATCAACTATTGGAGAAACAACTGACAGAACAGTCAATCATGACTTTCTTTTCCACCAAAATATCTGTTTCCATCGCACTTATTAGCTTAGACATCACAGCATTTCAAGTGGACTCCGTGGCAACAGTTTACAGCGAGATAGAAAAAAGGACCAAAGATAAAATCTTAAACCTAAGCCGTTGTGCTGTTTAGTCAAATGTCTTTTCTGGGAAACAATGCTGCATTAATGGAAGTTCTCAAACACTCCGAGACAGAATCCACATCTCCAATGGATTGATAAATGAGAACTGATACAGTCATTAGGGACCCCCGTCATTCCTATAAAAGTGCTCAGTGGCGCATGAAGCCAAATGCCTGACTCTGAGAGCCAAAATACCCATATGTGGCAAAAGTACCCAGTACGTCGGGCACAGAGTTTCCATAAGTCCCACAAAAGCGGAACCCATCAAAGCTTAGTATCTTTGCTGGAAAATCACTTAGTTATGTATTGCGTTTAGTGACTGATTCATTTACTGATTGTTCTTACAACTACTAACTCTACAAATCCTATAAAATCGTAGGACTCAAAAGCCAGGATTTAAATTTAATGCCAAAGTTCAATGTTCTTGATACAGCTAGGAGTATCTGACATTTTGCATGTGCAGTATACTAAGCCTCGTGGCATGGGTTATGCAGGAAGAAGATTAATGTACATGTGATTAGAAAGTATTTGCCGTTTTGCTATCTAGAGAGCGACCTGATTGCTCGACTTTAGTCTCCACTGTGTCTTTAACTGTAATTCTGGTCTCAACCTCCCTATGTTTTGTCTTGACTACCCAATGTCATAATACATTTTGGTCCTGTTTGCTATAGGTGATTTTGAAATGTTGCATAATGCATGATATAGGAAAGAAGCATGTCCCCTTAAATCTGAAGAACAACCTCAGACATGAATTATTGCTGTATCCACAGAAGCAATACACCAACAACTGACCTCCTGTGTGTTCCTCAAGCTGTATCAAAACCAGACCAATACAATCCACTCTTCATTGCACAGATATTGACAACGAGGTGTCATCTTAATCTGATTATACATGACGAGCTGTGTGGAGGACCTATGTAATGCCGCTGCCAGGCGTATCCTGTGTTATTATGTTGTCCAATGGGACCATGTGAGGAATGTGAACACAATATCCTCCTGCTGCCCTCACGACAGGCCCACCGGCCAGCAGCAGCATGTCAGAGTCACATCTTATCCCAATTATCGTGTGTATGGTTATGCGGTGGAGTGTACGTGGTCTTTGAGCAGGCGTGCCAGTGAATTTAAAACCCAGGAAAGACAGGGGCCGCTCTGACAAGCCTCTGCTCTAAATGTCTCAGGTCATGTGGAGGACCTTTGTCTTACTGGAGCCAGCAGGTGAGTCATTATGAGAAGCAAAGGCAAATTATAGAGGCACTTTAATAATAGCGTGTGTGTGTGTGTGTGTGTGTGTGTGGTTGTAGTGTGGTGTGTGTGTGTGTTGTGGTGTGTGTGTGTGTGTGTTGGTGTGTGTGTGTGTGTGGTGTGTGTGTGTGTGTGTGTGTGTGTGTGTGGGTGTGTGTGTGTGTGTGGGTGTGTGTGTGTGTGTGTGTGTGTGTGTGTGTGGTGTGTGTGCTGTGACGACACACATTTGAGGTGAAACATTCACATAAGAGGCTTTTATGGGGGGAAAATAAAGGTCTCAAATAAGCTTGATTCTGATTAAAGTCATGAAAAAAATTACTATTCACTAGTTTTATTATCTCAGTAAACACTTCTTGCCGAGCTTATTGTCTCAATCACTTTCACAATTGTCTTAAAAAACTTACAATACAGCGTAATGTTAGTTTGTTAGAAATTATGTAGATGATAAAGCTGCATGCTTCAGGCGGGTTATCTTAGTGATTGACAGCTGGGCCACGTTGTCTGTGTTGTCCATCAGGTGGTTTTTGTCCTACAAATGTAAGCTGTAGCTCCACCCTGTGTCTCAATCTGATTACCGAAACCAAGATGGTGACGGCTAAATGGTGCCAAACTCAGGCTCTCAAAACCGTGGTAAAGCGAAAACAAAACAAAATCTCCCATCGTACTGCCCGTAAATAAAACCCCTTATTACTGTAAAGTAATTGTTCCTCATTGATGTAATACATTTATTATCAGCTTTATCTCAGAATAATCAGTAATTTCTTCTTCAAAGTCTTCTGTGGTTCTGTGTTTGGTTTTGCTCTTGTTGAATCTGGCACGTTCAATTAAAAAAAGTATATTGTTTTCCTTGTAAAGAAAATGTATGTTAATTAGTTTCTGTTCAAAATGTATATGAACATAACAATACATTCCAAATGAAGCTTAGCGTAAATTCTTTCAGGAAGACTGGTATTCATTCACTCCGCAGCTGCTTATAATCAGCTCATCACGGGCGTTCTCTTAAACCTATTACATTCACCTCATTCTCCAGCAGCCAATCACCGTGCTGCAGCCAAACTTTAAAATGGTTCTCCTCTCTCCTGCAGTCAGCTGTGATTTCAGGTTGTAATGCGCCGCCCGCCTCCTCCCCATCCACCTCCTTTCATCATATTCAGAGCCAGGAGAGTTCATCCAAAGACCTCATCACACCTCCTCTTCATCCCATCTCCTCATCAAATCCAGATCTTCAGCATCATCACCAGTGTCTAGACCCCGGGGGGTTCCCTATATGCTCACGGCTGCATTTCCCCCTTTAGATATACGATTTCAGGATCGGGGTCTAATCGCCAAAGACTTAACATTTATCACGTGACATGTGTCAATAAATGTTCTTGTACAAAATGAAGTCTCTCCTGATTGAAATGTTATTTCTGTATACATGTTGTAATATTTCAAAGTTTTCGCAACACTATACGTCATTTTGGTCTTTCCAATAGAGTTTTTTGGATTTAATTTAAAGGTTTAATCATAGTATTTTCGGTTGTCAAAACCAAAATAATAAGCTCAAAGAAGCTAAAATGCTTTGTAGAACTGCAGCATTCCCTCTTTCTTTGGTAGTTGTTTTAGCTTCCCTTTCCGAAATTAATTTCACCTGAATGTCACTATTGGCCTGAGTTGATTGGAGGTTATTTAGATCACCTGCTTCATTGGTGGGGCAGAGAATGGTATTTCATAATAGTTGGAGACATTTTGTAATTATTATTATTATTATTATTAAGGAGGCATGTTTTTCTCATTGTGAGGTCACTGTCAGTGTTGGCCTTTACTTTTTGATTATCTTTTCATTGATAAGGTGCAGACCGCACCTTATCAGTGTGTCAGTGTCCTTATCTTGTGTGTCAGTGTTAATGCTGGACACATGTTCAGTGGAGCTGCACAGATCTGCTGCTTTGCTCCTGCTCTCTGTCTGTGGGTTAGCGTACCTTTTTCTGGCGGGCGGCTGGACAGCGCAGAGAAAGTGAGATACATGACGTAACAGCTGATGATGGAGGCCTGGAGGAGCCCCGACCGAGGCTGCTCTGCAGGGACAGAGAGAGGAAGTCAGGGCCAGAGTATCCAGCACGTACAATATATAATACTTTGCTTTTACAGCCCAAAACACACAACGATGCAAAGATTGTGACCTTATCAAAACTGGGAAAACAACAGTGGAAAAAAAGTGCATTGCCATCCATTGATTTACTGTTAACAAGAGTAAAGAAGAGACATTGAGTCATTAACAATAACATGCAAATTAGATTCTGCTTTTTTTTAATATACATACTAATAACAACACAAATTCTCATGAAATAAAAAATAAAACATCAAGCCTGAGTTGGACTGAAATGAGTACTGAAAACGCTCCAAATATGGAGACATGTGCACAGTCGGATTTTGGGATATTTGGATAATAATTGGATATTAATACCAATGCATTGTCACATAAACAGCATTTTAATACCACAGCTGCTCCTAGTTTAATCTTTGAAAATGTGTAATCCCCAAATGATCATGTATTGGTAAAATTATCTGCATGCAACAAGTTACAATATTACAATAACAATATTTCCCTCTGAAATTCCACATATAATGGAAATAATCTAGTAAAGTAAAGCATCATATACTTATAAATGTTTATTGTTACTCTCATCTCAGTAAGCGGCTGTAAGTCCCAGACATGTGCAGACAGAGCATGGCTTTACTGAACAGTGAATATTAGCTCACATCTAATTATTATTATTATCTGCAGCAGCACTGGTTTCAACAGGGGGATGTTTGCATAGCTGGAGATGAACTAAGTGTTATTTCACCGCTCCACATCGATGACAGACACGCGGGTTGTGTTTCATCAACTCACTCTGCTTCACGCACGGTGTGACGGCAATGAAGGACATGAGGCCGCAGAGCCCCAGGTTGATCCACAGCAGGGCCTTGTTGAACTGGCAGGCCACGGGGTGTGTGTAGTACTTGTACATGAAAGTGAAGGCCATGGTGGCGATAGTGTAGAAGAAGAGGGTGGCACACATCACCGCAATATACCAACGCTTGTTCTCTGCCGCTCCGGTCAACCTGAGGTGGGAGGACAGAGAGAGGGTTGCAGCTTCAGGTGTGTTTTTAGTACTGCTTCATACCACAAACACCTGTTCACACATTTAAGATGAATATTGCTAAAATGTAGGTCAGAAGTTATGTTTTTATCATGAGCATTTCATTGCATCCTAAAGGAAAGCTCAATCTTTATGTGATATAGATAAATGGACTGCATCTATAAAGCGCTTTTCCATTCTTCACCACCCTTCAACATACTCTTACATACACAGAATTAGAATTCAACCTCTTATACACATTTATAGAGGGGCTGCAGGGTATCACTTGCTCAGGGAAACTAACATGCACTCACTCTCACACGCCATTGGCCATGCCATTGGGAGAAATGTGGGTTTGTGTCTGGTCCAAGGACACTTTCACATGTACAGGGAAAGGGCTCGGGGTCGGGCTACTGAGCGTCCGATTGGTGGAAGACCATTTTACTTCCTAGTCACAGCCACCCATTAAAGCATTGTTTGAATTGTTTTCATGGTTTGTGTTTGTTGAAAAGGAAGAAAAATGTAAATGATAATTGGTGCATGTATGGTACAATGCTTTGTACCCTATCCTTAAGACTTAATTGATGCCCCTGGTATGGGTTTAATCATTAGAAGCAGCAAGGGTTAGAAATTGTATAAATAGGAATGGGACATTTTAAGGGACCGTAGTGATGACAAAACTTCACACACTAACAACAATTGTAGGTTTTGCATTTTTATGTTTTTACTTCCTTTATTGCCAAGTGGGGGTCCCTCATTTCAACATTTAAATCTCACAAAAAAAAACATGCAACCTATTTTGGCTGCTCCTGCAATGTGGGTTTAAAGTGCAGCGTTTCGTGTTTAACTTTTTCTATGCCAAGGACTTTGAACATGTGAAGTGACTAAAGTGCACAAAACAGCACTGAAGTTGGGAAGTTACAGGAGATTTTGAGACACATATTGCATTTTTGGAGCTACATGTGGCAGCTGCATAGTGAAGCACATGTGGTTAGGAGAAATCTGACAGTTTACTGATGGAAAAAGAAGAGACCGCATGTATAGACACATCGGAGCAGGTTATCTTCTGACCTGCAAACCCAGGAGGGACAGACGCTCTGTACCGCTGTAAAGGGAATAAGAGGATTGTTGGCTTTGTGTGTTTGCCTCTGGAAAATGTTCTGAATGATTAAATCCTCTCAGTTGTTGTAGGCATAGTTCAGAAAGGGCTGAGAGAGACGCATGGCTCAACAGCTGGACACGGTAAATAACATCTGGGACACAAGTGACTTTCAGAGGACGGGTTTATCTGAACGATTTACAATAAATGTATATTTTTAAAGATAAATAAGGGTTAAATAAAAATCACCCCTGGGTATCAAAGAGTGAAACTGCACCCAAGCAAACTAAAATTAAAACTATAAAAGGGTATGAAACAGGGACAAAATCCAGATGTTGCTGAAGTCAGTCCACATGATTTACAAAGTTCCAATGGACACAGGCGGGATCCGTCATCACCAGTGAGGAAAATAGACTTATCTTCTCCAGATGTGAAAAAGGCTGTATGTGCTGCATAAAAATCAGCGAGGGGCCTTAACTATGTTATCACTGTCCTTTGACAACCATGTAGCTCCAAAATGTAAACTTTACACTAACAAAAAAGATAGCTTCATCCTGTGACAATGTATATTTTTTTCCAGATAATCCCTTAGGGTCTGAATGTAGTTCTTTATTCACTTCAAATAAGATAACAGGAAACAAGAGAAGAGATAGATGGGGTAGTGCCTTAGTCTTGCTGTCTCTCTGACATCCAGCAGGGGGCGTTTCCACTTTTTTTTGGACAACTGACAACTTATGAAAAATGTGTACTTCTTATTGTGTTTTGAGTTTATGAAAGTTGATTGTGACATGTTGGTAGCCTATAAATGTTTTCAGAGTTTGGTTGTGTTGAGCCCCGAACTCTTGTGTCATGTCTGGATCAATAAAACAAGGTAGCAACGACCAAAAGCAAAATGGCGACAGCCAAAATGCCAAACTAGAAGCTTCAAAACAGCAGTCCACAAACAATGGGTAATGTCACAGTGAGTGACTACTTCCACTTCTTATATACAGTCTATGATCTGGACACAAACCGGGACTTAAGGGTTTATGTTTGGAACACCAACCACTTCCCCAACATTGGACTATAATGTAGTCTAAAATGTGACACATGGGGACATTCATTCATATTGGGCAGTCTATTGGCCTGTGACCTCTGAAAGTATTCCGGAACACACATAAGAAATAAGCAGGGGATTAGTATAGTCTGAAAATAAAAATGTGGAGGAAATTATATTATGTTCCACTCTTTTAACCACCATTCTGAGTAATGAGAAAATCAATGAGATTTTTTTGATAAAGTCAGTGATATATAAAGTAAAAAATGGAAACGCGAAACATAACACACATATGTGGATAGACAAAATCTCCCTCCAAAACTATGAGCATTACACTACTGAGGTCTTCTGGTTTCAGCCATCCACGACCACCAGATGTTGAATTCCCAGCCTGGATTGATTCTCATTCAGCTACAACGACATAGGGAGGGTCCAACTTTGATGTTTGCGATAAAGTCTGGCTCGTTCCAGTTCACCCTGAAGGTGTTGGATGGGGTTGAGGTCGGAGCTCTCTGCAGACCAGTAAAGTTATTCAAAATCAAATTGGAAAACATTTTTTGCATGGAGCTGGCTTTGCACACAAGGACATAATCATGATGAAAAGAGACAAACTTAAAGGTCTCCTATTATGCTATTTTTAGGCATATATTATGGGTCTCAGATATATAAAAATATATAAAAAACATGTTTATGATGTGTTTGCTAAGAATACCAAACAGATCATACATTTCAGACATCCCTCATATCCCTCTGTTTCAGCCCTGTTAGAGAACTGCAGGTTCGGGGTCCTTAGCTTGAATGCCTGCTCAGAATTCTACGAGATACAGCTACACGCTGCAGTGATTAATCGCCATATCATGTTCCCAATACATCAAGGATTATTTCTGAAACAGTATGGAGCTCAAATGCTTTTTCTCTTGCCGGTCTACCACAAGGTGAGTTCCTTTTTTTATGTCCTGCTTTTTTACACATACTCTCTCCAGTACAGGTTAGCTCTGAGTGTTAGCAATGCTTGTTAATGTAAACGAAGACCATATTACGTCCAAAACAGTTGGGCATTGTTTCTGATAGCAACTTTCTGATAGTGCCATGGGTCCACATTTCCGATATTACGTCATATCGGACGCAAATCTGGATCAGCTCCGTTGTACCCCCGTTTTTAGAGATTTGGGTACGGAGGAAAAGAGAGAGGGTTTTGTTTTCGGACACTTTGTGAGTTCCCTGACACACCGGGGACACATATTTATGTATAAAAGACATCCAAAAGTGCATTTTGCATGATAGGTCCCCTTTAAACCATGCATGTCAGTGTTTACTATCTCTACGGTAGCCGACACGTGCAACGGGCCAAAAACATTTGGGGAAACGTGCTGCAGTGTCAGGAACCATGCAAATATAAAAACACAAAAGTGAAATGAAGAAACATCTTCACCGACTTGACAACACATGCCACTTGAGGAAAGATGCGCAGCGTTTACTAAAAGCTGCATAAACCAAACGCTATACAAAACGTTGCAAAAAGCTCAAAACACAACGGAAACCAGGGGACACTAAAAAGTGACGCACACAGCCGGGACCGGAGCTCTTATTGACGTTCAGGATTATAAAGGACAACTGTCTATGTGGTTGGAAACTTACCTAAAATGTTTTATCGACTTATTTGACCAATATGATGACATGAGGTTAGCTAAGTTATCTTGCAAGCTTAAAGCCGCTGTAGCACGTTGGCACCTGTCAGCTACCGTACAATGTCCTTAATTCACCTCGAGTACTTTATCTGAAAATAGCGCCCAACATCCCGTCCCAACATGTAACACAGAAATAAAATACATGCACATTTTATATATTGACGTGTTGAAAGCAATGCCGGCCTCCTTGATCTCCATCTTTGCTATATAATGTCCTAATCATTCCCATTAGAGTCCCCAGTCTGTTGGCAGAGTCTCCCTGCCAACAGGCTTACGGTGTAATGATACCTTAATGTGCTTGCTTATCCCCTCATGATTTTGATAATACATTTTTGTCCTCCATTGTTTCCCTGTTATCTTAATTGTACATACATAAGCTAAGAAGGAGCAGTGCAGTTATCAAGCTGCTTAGAATTATCAGATGACAATGTAAGTCCTGCTGATCCTATTAGAGGCAAAAGCAGCTAACGTGTAAATGCCCAGTGTCAGCTTAC